ATTTTTTTTTACTGTTTTAATAATGTTTTCTATTTTCTGTTATGAATTAAATTACTTAACAAAAGAGGAATTCTGCTCTTGGCAGCATGTAGTGCAGGAATTAATTCAATAGATCAGTAGGTAATTCAGAGGCTGCACTTTGGATTTCTCATGTATGTATTCATAGCACTAAACCTACTCTTCGTTAATACTTATTCAGCTACTCCTTCAGGGCTGTGTAGCTGATCTGGTGTAATTCGGTAGCACTATATAAACTTCAGTTATTCAGATAGTCATTTACTGCTCAGTCCTAAAAGTTTTACCTGTCCAAGTAGATTAATTTAGTTCACAAAAACCTGCAGAAAACAAGTGAGAAGGCTGAAGAATGCTTCGGAGTTAAGTGTACTTGGGTAAAATTTAAAAGTGATGAAACTTCAAAAGAAAAATGATTTTTACTTTTGAATAGATGCGAGTGGCAAGAAGACATCTCATACCAAGCACTTACTGTTAGTTTTTATGTGAAGAATGGGTCAGAAAGGAAACAGAAACTTTTAATTATCTAAATTGTGGGGGAAGTATAACAAGTTTCAGCCCATAAGGAATGTATTTTACTAAAACTTGAGAATGCACGTTGCTTACATTTATTGACAAAACCCGTATCTTTTTTTCATACCAACATATTTCTGGTATGAGAATGAGAGCAGTCAATAAGGGGCACAGTTTGAGCTTTGGTATTTGGGTTTTACTATGATTTGTTTTGCATACAGATAGAATCTGTGTCTTCTTTGCTGAGAACCCACTTTTAAATCTTGTAACTATTCCCCTCATCTCTGTTGGGAACACCATATCTCCATGTAGTTTAGCTGAGCACATTGGAGTTACAGACTTAAGAAAAGTCAGCTTCTAACACCTGATATTTCCTAGCTTCAACCAAAGCATAACTGGCATTCAGATATAGTAATGAAGCTTTTTAATGTACAGGAATGCTAGATAGAAGTATTCCATTAAACAGTTTGTTAGTTTTATTTAGTTTTAAATTACAAAATATTTTAATCTATCTACTCTATGAAAACATTGTTATAAATAAAGCAGGTGTTAGGTGGGGAGAAAAGCTTTTGCAGCAGGGCTTGAATATGTAACTATATATGACCTAAAGAATGCTTATTTACGCCTTAAGGCTTGTAAAGAATTTAGTACCTTAAAATTATTAAAAATTACTCTTATTTATTGAGAAAAAATAGTCTATTCATAATTGATAATGTCAACTAGTGACCTCTGTGATAACAACCTAAATGTGTTGCAAAGTGATTTGGCAAAAATGCATATTACATGGTTTATGAAGTTCTGCAACTTATTGTGTTGTCTTTTATATAAGTACATCAAATACAAGAGTTTGGTGGGGTGGGGGAGAGGGTTTCACCTAAACTGTGTTTGAAAGACTACATATATTTCAGTTCTGGACAGGATTGATAATAGTTTGTGGGTTATTTGTGGTTTGAGGGGTTTTTGTGGGTGGTTTTTTTTTGGGGGGGGGTGTTTGTTTGCTTTTGGTGGTTTTGAGGGTTGTTTTGGTTTTTTTAAGGACTCTTCAAGATGTATAGAAATCTGTTTCCTATTTTACAGCTATGTGGATGCTTTGGGGTTTTTTTTTCTTTGATTCCTTTGTTTCTGTTGGTCAAACTTTCTCGTTTAAGACTTGCATTTTGGAAAGCATGGTTGAGTAGTATTCCTTTGTCACTATTTCTGATATACTTTGCTGACACTTGGTATCACCGCATCAAACTGCTGTCTGGAAATGAACTGTGGATCTCTATTCTTTGCACGCAATCACACTCCAACTATGGCTGAGTGATGATTTTGTTGAAGCAGTGATGCAGAACACAATAGTTAACTCCCCAAGTCTTTACTCATTCTGCTGGTGGATAAGGACTTTTTCCTTCACAGGTTTCTCCATAAAGCCAGGGGATGGACAGCATTTATGTGGAGTTTGATTGCTTACAGATTGGAGGAGAATCCTTCAAGAATGACTTCTGTAAAGAAGGCAGGTGAGGAACGCTCTTCTTGTCATGAACTGGTAGAAAAACAAGAAGGTAATGAACTAAGCAATGACGAAGTCACCTGAATTTTGTTTGCATACGTACAAAGTGAAAGGCCTTGCTAGTAACATGACAGGATGCATCAAAGTATCAAAATATTGGACAGTACACTATATCAAGAGTGTTGAGGACTTTCATCTTCACATATTTGGGGTTTATCCAGCTCTTGCTTTAGCTTCTGGTGAAGGCTGTCCTTTGAACACAGTAATAGATGATCTGAAGGCTGATCTGGCGTGCCATTGCATAGTTTCTGTATCTTAAAACTACTGGATTATTTGGTTTAGGAATTATGAAAAAATAATGGAGGGGGGACAAACCCACAGATCAATAAGACTAATATGTAATTGAGGTTTCTACTGTACTAAGACATAATTCTGTAATTGTGTTATTAGTTCTTCTAATTCTTGCACTTCTGAGCAAGCAGAAAGCACTAAAGATGAATTTAAGATACACTTTGTCCCTTTGAGGGGTTTGTGGGCTAAAACCAGAGTATCTTTTCTACTGGGATACATAGAAAGTTAGGTCAGTGTTGAATAATTTATTACCAGAGTGCAATAGCTCAAGGTAACTGCTGTCTTCTCCCCCGCAGTGTCCTGTTTTGCACATACAAATTCCCATTTTACAGCAACTTTACCTCCTGCTCTTCCTATTGCAAAAGAGGAAAAAATACTGAAAAAAATCAATAGCTAATTTCCTTTAAATTTGTATTAGAGAAATATATGGAACTTATTTTCTACAGAAATGTTTGTATATATATGTATACATAAATATAGATATAAAAAAACCCTTTACTCTGTATCTGTTCTTCTTACTGTATTGCATGCTTGGTTACTGTTTAACCTAACCTATAATCAGGATTGTTAATAACTGACATTAATTGTAATTACATTTATTCTAAGATATAAATTGACATTATTAACATTATTATTGATTACACTTGTGTCTCTACAAAGCATGTGATAGGAAAAAATATATATTCCCTTCCTACCATTTGAAGAGATGTGGAGAACCACATCTAGCTTTTCCACATGAAAGCTCCTTTAAAGTAGGTAAGCAGTCTTTGTGGTCATATTGAGATATGCTGTTAAATACCAAGAATTGCTAGGACATTTTTAATGGCTGATACAGCTTCCTAATCAGGAATTTACCACTATTTTATACACTGAAATACTACACCCCAAGGAAATAGTTACTATTTAATAACTCTGCATCTGTTGTAAAATTCAAATTTATATTTCTTTTAAACAAAGATGGGATACAAAATTTAACTTCTTCAATGTCATTTGTTTTCTCATAGCTTTTAAACATTTTCATGTTGTTCATAAACCAGTTTTAAAGTACTCTAACAACTCTTTAAAGCTATGAGAAAACAAATGACCATTGAAGAAGTTAAATTTTGTATCCCATTTTTGTTTCAAAAAAATATAAATTTGAATCTTTACAACTCTTAGCAGAGTTATTAAGATGCATTTACAGATTATAAAATACTTGCCCAGTGCCCATACTTTTTTCTTTTTTAAAGAAATAGTATATAAGAGTTTAACATGGGAAAAACTGTCACAGTTTTAGATTCAAAGCAAAATGAAGATAAAATTCAGTGCACTTATGTCCAAACGTACTGGCCTGCAGACAGTCAGAAAAAGCAACCTGCAAACATTACATGTCTGTGCAAGCAATAGCTATTATTGACGCAAACAATAGCTATTACTGACTCAAATCTACCTAAATTTTCCCCAATAAGCTCTTCAGAGTTAAAGAACACTGAGTACAAAAAGTGATCTCACGTGTTCAGTCCAGCTACTGCACTAGTAAATGGTATATACTCCTCTTGAAATAGGAGGAGGAAAACAGCTGCAGCTGTCACCAGACAGTTGAATGTGTTGTAATGCAAATAAAGTAGTTGACAACTTGAGTGTGTTTGCACCTAAATACTTTGTCACAGCCACTAAGATATATGTTTAGACAAAGGAAAATACCTCAAATTTCCTGAATCAATGCAGCATTTCAAGTTTCTGTTAAAATTCATTTAATTTTAATGTGTTAAAATTAAGTTCAACATAGGAGTCTTTAATTTTTGTCTGGCTGCATGTTAGACTTCCTTGTGTCTTTTTGACTTCCCCCAGTGTCCATTATACACACAACAAAGTTGGTTGGGATTTGATTTGATTAGGCATATCTTTCCTAGTTACATTCTTCAGAAGGATTATGGAGATGAAGGGTGAATATACAATAAAATAATACATGACTATGAAATATGAGAAATCCTTTGTGTGGCGTGTGACAAAATATTACCTATAAACTCTGAATATGCTGACAGCACTTTGTCTCTGGATAAAACTTCTAGGATTTTGCTGTGGGCAATTCAGTAGAATCAGCTGATAAAATGAAGCTTGTTCCCTAACTAGTTATCAAGACTTGCTTCCAGGAAGCTCCCTGTAGCTGGGGACTTGCATTCAGCCTGATAGGTAGCTGCCTCTTTCTGTCTATTCAGATTTAGACTTTGAAAACTGCCTTACATCTCAATCGTGTATTTCTAGGTCCTGCCAAGAAATTGCTTGTTATTAGTCTGGTTGTGTCCATGCTCACTCACAGCAGAAGATGTTACACTATTATAACAAGCCAGGTAAGGGGCATAAAAACCGGTTTCTATTTCCTTTTTTCTTAACTTGTTCTTTATAAATATTGTTATAAATTAAAGGAGATAAAAATGAAATTAAAGAAAATTGGAATTCGTCCTCCATCTTTTCTGTGAAAGGCTTATGAAGACATGATGGGACTGCAGCTCCTTTCATAGGATTTCTTATCATTATTTTGAGTCAATTTTAAGTGCTGCAAATCAGTGCAACTCTTAACTTTTCAGTGAAACCTAACCTTTCAGTTATACCAGTTCAGAATCAGGCTTATTTTAGTAATGCTTATTGCATTAAAAAAAATTAAATAATCCTGTCATTGACATTTTATATCAATGTAAACATTTAACTCTTTAAAACAGAATTATATCAAATGCACATTCTTTGATAATTGAACAAAATAAATTAACAAGAACTTTTACAGCAGAATCAATGTAAGATATCTTAAAGTATTGTTAGAACCCTGTACAGTTTCTATCATTTTCATTTGTCCAGTTTGTTTCCTGGTGATGTCCAATATAAACACTTCCAATGTTTCAAAATGGAGAGCACCTGTGGGTAGACAAGTCCTTTGGAGATCCTTCAACTCCACATGAGCTCCACTGATTTCTTTGAAATGTTGAGCTGTTCTTCAGTTGGACTCTAGGTCACTTCGAAAGTGCATTGCAGTAGGTTCAAAAAACTGGAAGAAAAGTTTAGAGAGAAGTTTAAGCTGTGCATTGTTGACAGCTGAATTAACCAACAAAATCACCTCATTTCTAACTGTCTCATTAGACTTAAAACCAGACTGCATTACAAGGGAGAATCCTCTTTGTATTTGAAGTTCAAATTGATTGCCTGGATCCTCAAAGCTCAATTGTAAGCATGTATGGCAGTGGCTGCTTTCTCCTGAACTTAATTTTTCCCGTATTTAAACTGAAACTTAATGTAACAATACGTACTGCAAGCTTTATGAATATTAACATGCTGAAGTATTAACATACTTCTCCAGTTCTTGTTTTTTTTTTTTCTCTGTTCTTGTTTATTCCCAGTTGAATCATCAGCATCTCATTTTCTCCTTCAACTTATGTATGTCTCTTCCTGCCACCATGCATTCTCTGTATCCAATACCCAGCACTCAGCACATTTAGTGATGTTGTGCCTTCCTCTGCTCCCGAACATAAAGGCTGGCATCTGCTTGTTTTTCAGCAGTTTATCATTGAAACTTTAGAATCATATCTTTCTTCAGTTTGATTCACTCCATCATTCAGTGTTTGATTACATTAAAATTTTAAACATAAAGTTATGTATAAAAATGGAGAGGTTACTTTAGAAAGATGTGTAAGAAGATGTGAGAACAGCATATGCATTGTGAATGATATTGCAAAGGTTGACAAAGTACTTGTATTTTTCTCATTTAAAGGGCACTCTCTGCATTCTAAATCAAGAAAATATTAAAATAAATTAAGTATGCAATTCACCTGTCAAGGTCACAGTCAGAAATTAGTATTCAGCTCGAGGATTTAGCAAGATTTAAAACCAAAATATGTATGATAAAATAAAAATCTAGAACAACTTTTTCTCATTTGCCAGATACATGTGTTCTCCTGTCAAGAACTTCTCTGCTTAGCTAATCTAGACAAATATGTATTATTTATTATTGTATAGAGCTTTTTGTGGATGACAGATATTACTGTACTTAACACACAATGTGCTCCATAGAAACCTGCCTGTTCCATTTTGCATGTGTAAATCATGGGAATGTCACAGCTTCCATCTAAATTAATTACAAACTGACCTTAGTGAGGGACTAAGTCCTCTTAGAGTAATTCTAATGCTTTTTTTTTTTTCATATTATAAACTATTGTAATAGTTAAGCATCTGTCAGCATTACAGTTATAAAACCATTTGAGAGAAGGGAGGCTTATCATACAAGTATCAGCATTTTCTGTCGTCTGAAAACTGGCATCTGGTATTTCAGCTGCAGATTCTTTCCTGCATGAATTTTCAAGTACCTCCTTTTGTTTTCTTTTGGGTGTCCTTTGGTTGCATCAGGTTCCAACAACATGCTGTCTAGCAAAATGCAGGCAGAGAATGATGTAACTTCATTTCTATACTTTTAGCAATATAACTGCTGTTCTGCAATGTTACTGCTATTCCATGTGTAAACCAGTTTACAGTGAAACATCTCATGTATCAAGTCACGTATCAATGACTGCTACTGAATGTTTTCCCATTTCTTCCACTGCGGAATGGAACCTTTTATTTAAATATTAAGGCCCCATACACATATAAGAGGTATTCAGCTGAAGCACTTAATTTCAGTGTGGGATTTTTTTCATTCAGATGTTGCTGATTTACTTTAAAATGTAGCAAAAGATTAATTTTATAATGAAAATTTACTACTAAACTTCTGTGTTTGCTAAGCTGGACTTGATTCATACATCTGGAAGTACTAATACAGAGTTCAGTCCAAGATACTCTTGTCATCTGCCTAGTCCTGGTTACTATTAAAAATAGTATCCAAATGTTTAAAGGCATGCATTTTATTAGAAATGCCTTCTTCATTATACAGACTTCCAAATCCAAAAACTTCTGTGTAATTAACACACCCTTAATTTACACATATAGCAACAGAAAGGGGGATTAACCTGGTTGTCCAAAGACAATTATATAAATAAATGGAAGGTGAAGAAAAAGCTACTCCAAGGAGCACTTTGAAAAGTACTCTGGTCCCAAGGTTCTTGTAAATACTGTCAGATAGAATGCACACTAATGACTTCTTTTTTTCTGTACCATACAACCCATTATGTAAGGCATAAGAAAACTGCTTTCTAGTGCACAGAAATACTACCAAACAGCTTAGGAGCGAGCTCCTCATTTCATGCAACTGTCATTACAGTAACAAGCCTGTTTGTTCTAGCTGGTGCTTTGAATCCAGAACACGCAAGTGGAAGTAAAAAAATGATTCTTCCTCTTCCTTCATAATCAAAGGAAGAGTCTGGCCAGAAGATAATGAGATGAAAATTACCTGTGATTCCGGTGTTAAAATCCTGCTTTTACAGATTTACAACATGCTTCTTGATTTATTCTGTATGCACCATCCAAAGACAGGCACCTTTTTGGTTTAGGGATCTCCACAATGACAGACTTTGAATGATTTTCTGCACTCCAAACTGCACTAATCAAAATCCTAGAAAGCTGCACTACAAAACCTTTTGCACAGGCAATTTGACTATTTCAATGAACTGATTATATTCTTTTTTCATTTTGTTTTTAAACAGAAAGAGAAATGAGCACAAATAAGTAACTCAAGAAAAGCTAATATGCACAAAATGCATTTTCTAAATGAAAATAAATTTCTTAACTGAATAACACTGTACCAATATTTAGCCTTTTGTACTTGAGCCTGTGATTCATTTGAACTGGCCATGAAGCATGACATGCTTTGTTCACCTAACTTTTGTATCTTTGCTTGAATGAAAAGGCTTACATATTATTAATATATTTTTAAAGCAAAAATACTCCTGGGTTTCCTTAAAAGTAACAACTGGTAAAGTAATACAACATATTGAATTAGAAACCTAGCAATGGATATCGCAATCATCATTAGTTACAACTTGAGTAGACAAACAAGAAAACGTAATTTATGAAGAGCTTGATCAACATTTTATATAATTGCTTACATTCTTCATAATTCAAAACACCCCAACTGTCAACACTTTCCTGTTTTATGAATCTTAATGCTGGATTCCTGTCATTCTATTAGGCTACAAAACATAATTTCTGAGCTTCTGAGCATGTTTTTTTAGCTTGCAAAAGTGGCATTTAAAAATATAGTCGCCACTATGTCCTAGACTTTAGAAGTATTTTAAAAGCTTAATTCTACTATAACTATTAATATACAAGGTTAAACGTAAATATGTCATCACTACCAAGGGAAATTGCAACTGTGTTCCAAATATTTCTAGATCCAAAATGTGAATGGTTGAATGAAATTACTGGAGTAATGGTAAGCTACACAAGCTGAGGAACTGGCTTCTAAACAGAAGCTGTAATGATTATGTGCTTTTTAGATACTTCCCTTCTCTGATTGAGATAAGTAATTCGCACACATAGTCAATATTTTAATAGCAGGATCAGTAACTCTGGCATAAATGCTAAATTTAGCATTGGGCAGATTTTGAATGGCCGGGAGTTAGCAGCTGTGACCTCTTGAGAGAGACATCTGCAGGAACATTTGTAAGAGACAGTGCCTCCTATCTTCCTGCGCTCCTGATTTCATAGATAAGCTGCTTGGCAGCACACTCCATCTTTGAGAGACAGCAATTCCCAGATCATACATTTAATAGCAAAAATCAGCAAAATTAGAGGCTAGTAGCCTCTGCTTCAAGCAGAGGCAAGATGCCACCAATCAGCTTATCCGCACTGTCTTGTTTACTTAGAACTGCACCATCTCTTGGCTGTCGATGAGATTTCCCTTGGCCTCCTTTATCTCTAATCTTAGAAATAATGGTACAGTCTGCTCACCACTCCTACCAGATTGCCAGCCTCTGGTTTTATTGATATAGGGACTTGGTGCGTTTGGTACTATCTAAATACCATCATTATCTCTTTAACTGTCCTAAATAAAGCTAAATGTTCCAATCATAATGACTGCAATGTAAAGTGAGATTCAAAAACTTTATAGCAATGAAGAAAATCAATATATGTGTATATATATATATTTATCAAGGAAATGGGACACTATTAGCTGTATTTAGGCAAAAGGGGAAAAAGAGAGAATTAAAACATACAAGAATCAAGCTTTTAATGACTAATTACTGACTGATTATTCTAGACATGCTCAGTTTGCAGGGCACACATCTCTTCTGCACATTACGGATATCTAAAGACATGATCATTCTCTGCCTGATATGAACAAACTTAATAAAATAATTTAGCAGCTTTATCTGCATAAAACAGTTCAGATGTATGAAGAAATGGGGAAATTCAGTGTTGAAGTGCATAAAACCAGGACCTCTTGATTCACAAACTGCATACTGTAGTTGTCAATTTTTCACACTGTATAAATATTTATAATGAACAACAACCTTCTTTGGGGAGACTGTTATCTTATTACTTCACTGAGCAAACCGTAGGAGATATTGAAGTTCTTATCTCCTTCACTGCATTGCTTCAACAGATAATTCTACCATTCCTTACTGCAGATAGGAAGATTAAGAAATGGAAGATTTAAGATTAGTTTGTTTGCTGAGAATGGCATCGTACATTGTTTTACACAATGTGTTCTGCTCAGTGCATGAACGTGGCAGACAGATAAGCGTTTACATATCTCATTTTCAAATAGCCTTTCTGCATTGTATTGAGTGCCACTACTACTGGAAGCCACAGTTGATCTTTTAAAGAAAACTTTAAAAGAAAACTGTTAAAGAAACCTTTGTTCAGAAAGGACCAATTAACTGGAGTTCAGGAGTAAATGAACAATGAAAATAATACTGGTCAAGTAAACATACTACATGTTAAAGCAAGTATTCAGAAATTCTGCCACTCACTTCCATAGTGTCTTTTGAAAGATAAACAACCCAGTATACTAGGTTGAATCCTGCAAATGCCACTGGAAAGAGGATCCTAGAATACTGGTCTATTTTACTTGTGCCTCCAACAGGTGGTGGTGGTGGGACAGGTGGAGGAACAGATGCTGGTTGATACTGGGATGCACTATTTGATATTATGCCGGCTTCAGGAGACTGATCTGCCGGAGATGTTACGGAGTTTACTCGCTTCTTCAAGTTACAGTTGGAGTCAGAATGCTGTGGAAGAAAAAAAAAGAAAAGGGGAAGGGGAGAAAAAGGTGAGTTTTGGATACAGTCTTAGGTTTTGTGATCATTAGGCTTCTTTCCACCTTTTTACTCAACCTGATTTTATTGCTGCTGCTTTGCTATAGAGCAACCTAAGGAAATCATAGAAATAATGCAAATATACAGAGGTACATTTGTGGCCTAAAGCTTTGCTGTAAAAACGTTAAAAAAAAAAGTGCTTTCCTTATTTAACAGGGTAAAAACCAGAAACTAGAAGAGAGAAAGAAAAAGAAAAGATGGAGCCAAAAGGAAAAGAAGATAATGGTCTATCTAAATTGTAGTATATTGGTATGACTGAGGTTTCTGTAGACACGAATCAAGTTTAAACAAAACAGCACATATGGGCTGGCTCAAGCTCAGTCTTCACTGTGTGAGCCCATTGATGAGTTTCAGTAGACATTCACTGAATGGAGTCAAATTGTTGCACTGTTATTAGTCCCCAAACTATCTTCTGATGAACTAGAAAACTGCTGCATGAAAAGAAAGGGGCTAAATTTACAGGTGTTTAAGACAGGAATGCTAAATTGTCCTATGTTGTTTTGTTGTTTTTTTCCTAGTGTGAAATTTAATTTTCAAGTATGTAATGACTTTTCCATATATATCTCTTACATATTGCTCTTTTTCTTCCTCTATAACCTAGCAACACTTCCAGTTTGTCATATCCCTCCTTCATCCACTTTGCCATCTACATATTAAATGATTAGTACCATGTTTAGGATAGATATTAAGTGGCATTCATATTCTGGGGCTATGCCTATCTGGAACACAGATGTTTGTTTTTGTGTTTTCCAGTAACAGCAAACAACAGGCAGATTTAAATGGAGGATGATCTACAGATGTGTCACAAACAGAAAGAGGGTTATTCATGTCCACTTGCGCTAATCATCATAATAATCCCACTGTATAAACAGACTGACAAACCAAGCCTGGGCTACTGCTCTCATTACAGTTGCTATTCTGTTTTGCTTGTATGCCCTGCTTTGAGCTGAATTGTAGGAGTTGTAAAGTAGCTGCTTTTCACTTTACTGCAAGATAGCTTGACCTTTTGTGGAGAATGAGTAGTTCCTAAAAATATAAGTGCTAAGGTGAATCTTAGCCCTTTTTATCTGCAATATTCTGGTATAAGGTGGGTCAAATTCTGCTCTGGATCACTCAAGCATGAATCAGGAGTTATTATACTGAGGTGATGAAGTTAAAAGTAGGCAGAACAGATGTAGCATATGGTCTGTGGATAATGTTCAGTACTGACTGCATTTAGAACGTAGAAGTAGCAAATACTTTGTGATCATCTGAATAGACACTTGGAAAAAGTGTAATCGTGGTCACTATTTTATTTATAATATTTATTAAATCTCATTCCTGTAGAAGAGGGTTTTGCTATAGAAGGAGGATTATTTCAACGTGATTTCATCTCAACTTGGAGATAGGAACATTTGGAGTCAGTGTATCCTCAGAACTTGGGGAGTGCACTAACTTGATTATGCTCCCACTTTGGGGCCAGTTTAGGTCCATTCTAGCAACTGAGTGATAATGATAACTTCTTATTACTTAAAATAGCCTATTCCAATATTCAGGAAGGATCAGTGCATTTCACTGTCTAAGTAAAACCAGAGCTTTTTGTCATGCTCTTCTGCTAAGGAGATGGTTTAGTCGATATAAATTGTTAAGAAAGTTCTTGAGCAGTTCTTTACACTGTCTTTAACACCCTCATGTGCCCATCCAGCAAGTCAGCATCAGGACTGTTTTCCTGTCTACCACTACCCAGGATATGGAATTTTAAGTCCAAATTTATCTTAGCTGTGTAAAGATGTTCTCAGCGTATTAGCTGTCTGTAGACCAGACTTGCTGCCCGAGAGCTACAATTCATTTTTTTCATTGGAATTCACTGCTAAAACAAGAGGAGAAGGCAGTGAAAGGAAGCCATGTAGTTTCTTATTACAGTTGAGTTCTGAACAGCAGCTACACTAATTTGCCTACTACATTTAGATTTAACTTTTCCTTTTGATGAAGATTGCCTACAATGACATCATGAAACTTTAGCAAAACACAGAGAGAGTAGCCTATGTTACATAGTTTACATAGCCAACCACTCAAATACTAAGGACTGTTTTACAAGTAAAAAGAGCAACTGTGTCATAATGAAATAATGAATTTTGTTAAGTTACTGAATCCTGATTCAGAGAAGTACTCTTGTACTCATGTGGAATGTTCATCCAATCAGGCAATTGAACTTGTCATTGCGAACGACTACCCAGTGACACAGAACAGATTGCAAGATCACTGTTTAATGTGAGATGCCATAAAACTGGACTAGACAAAGACTGGTACGTATACGGGCTAAATAAGATATAGTCTTTTGCAGCTCAGCTATCTGATCCTCTGGAAAGCTCACAAAGCAGTGGCATGTTGTCTATAAAGGTGCTGCTCACTCACAACTCTCATCAATATCACTAGAATTTGCTCAGAATATCTCAGGAGGCTTTCAGCAAATTGCTTGGCTTCCAGCTTTAAAAAAAATACAGCATATCTATAACCTTGGAATAAACATTTTTTTTTCTGCTTTTTCTGATTTTTATATGGATGCTAATAGTGATTTATGAATATGCTTTGTACTTATGTTTCTTTTCCTCAAGAGATTTCTGTAATTCATATTTGTAAAATTTTCTACTGTTCTCTGTTCCTTTGTACTGCAAATACATATTCCACTATCAATTCAGTTTATGACCCAGCAGTAACATGAGTATCTCATATATGCACTCAGATACTGGCTAAGTAAACAAATGAGTACCTGTAATGTACCCTTTTACTCACTTATGTCTCTCTTTCCTGCAGGCAATGTAGTAAAAAAATGTTCATAAGAATAAACTCTAGAAGTTTAGACAGAAAACTGTGTTATTCCTCCTTTTCTTTCTAAATTATTGGATTAAGGGTATCGAAATTTGCTGATATCACAAAACACACCAAAAAACACTAGGCTAAAAGCTCAGTGTCTGTACATGGCAGAATAGTAAATGAAATATATAACATTCTTTTTCCCTGTCTGTATCATTAGTAGATAAAATTTCAACCATTCATATTGTACACATAAAATTGCATGCTAATGACTTAGCTCCCAAAGAGGGAGTTAAGCATAGTTTAGCCCCTAGATTCAATAGTGTGATCTGTAAAAACTCTGTTTAGCTACTGAACAATCCATATGCAGCACCATACAGCAGGGAAGTTCACCACATTAGGTAGGATCTCCTTTTGGGAGATGCATCAATCTTTACAGTCTTGTGCAGTTTAAGTATCCATTTCATGCTAGAGATTCATTATAACCTATAATTTAGACATTTCTTTGCACATCTCATCTGTGGGATCTGATTCAAACCCAGTGTATTGGAAACATCTATAAATGATGTTCTGCATAATTAAAAGCTCAATGTAGTTTAGAAATCATTAATAGTCCTACCTTTAGGTATCTGTCCTGGTTTCAGCTGGGATAGAGTTAATTATCTTTCTAGTAGCTGGTACAGTGCTGTGTTTTGGATTTTTGAGCTAGCAAATGTTGATAACAGCCTAATGTTTTAGTTGCTAAGCAGTGCTTACTCTAAACCAAGGACTTTACAGTTTCCCATGCTTTGCCAGTGATCAACTGCATAAGAGTCCAGGAGACAGGACAGCTGACCTGAACTAGTCAAAGGGATATTCCATACCACAGAACGTCATGTTTAGTGCACAAACTAGGGGGAGTTGGCCAGGGGTCACTGAACACTGCACAGGGGATGGGCTAGGCAATGGTCAGTGGATGGTGAGCAATTCTATTGTGCTCACTTGTGTTTCCTGAATTTTATTCCTCCTCCTCTCTTTTTTTCTATTATTTATTTCTTATTATTGTTTACTTCATTGCAATTATTAAACTGTTCTTATCTCAACCTTCAGGTTTTATCTTCTTCAGATTCTCCTCCCCATCCCACTCTGGGGAGCAGGGAAGAGTGAGCAAGCAGCTGCACGGTATTTAGTTGCTGGCTGGGGTTAAACCACAACAGCATCTTTTAGGAATCCTGTGTCCTTTACTAGGAATATTAAGAGGAATAACATGCAAATTTATTTTCTTTGTGTTTTAGCCTAGTAAAAGGATTAAATCATTTAGGTTAAATTATTCACGCAAAGCATGGGAAAGCCATGTTAAAATTCTTTCTTAACCTTAAGGGATTGAAATTCACCTCTCAAAATATAACCTAACCATCACGTGAAGGTGATTAGTGGGAGAAGTTGTTACCTTATTACTTCAAAGCTGTTTTACTTTGCATGGAAATTCTGAAGAGCCATTAGAAGCAGAAAGTATAGCTTTGAAAAATATACTATGCACCCACTGTATTAAAATCACTGTCATATAAAACTGGTAAGTTCTAAGGAGGGCAGAGACTGGAATCCTAGTAATTCTATTTTCAATGTGAATATGTGTGGTGGAATCTCTTCCTAACATTTCTGTGTAGCATATCAGGAAAATAATAATGTAATTAGCACAGAGTCTCTGTCAGAAAATATATCCATGTTAAACAGTTTTAAATGTTCAAAGTAATGTTTGGCTCTTAAACTTACCAGTGTCAGTCCAGAACTACCCCTGTCTCTACATTTACTTCGCTAAATTTGTGTGGCATGGAGAAACTACTGCTTTGAGTGTCTAAATGAGACAGAATTACACAAACAGCACTATAGAGGTTGATTTGTTTGTTTTTCTGGAATTTAACTTAATATAATTTTGTACCTCATCTCCCCCTTCACAAAGGTACTGGGATTAGACTTCCATGTTGAACAAAAAATGTCTAAATCCAATTCATCTTAAATTTCTTTATTTTGGTGTGTGTTACTAGCTACTTCCAAACTTTCCTTACTATCCTGCATTGGCTTTGTCAATCAGACAAATATTTAACTTGGAACCAAATAACCAGCATCTACTTTTCCTTGTTGGGATGACAAAAAGTCAGTGTAACTGAAAGTTGAGGTTTGTTTTAAGTAATATACTTGGTAACCTCCAATTGTGTAGGCACAGGAAGATGTCCCTAATTTCTTGAAAGTGCTGTTTTCTCAGTCAAAACTTTCCTGCCTATAGCTGTTTCCAGGATGATCTCATAAAGGATTGTTGATAATCCAAATAAAAGTGCTTTGCTTTCAGTTATGTTACGGTACTCATTAAACATACTCAATATATTCTGGCACAATTATAGAAAACTAAATCCCCTATACCAAAGTGACATAAGGCTGCTCTGCAGTTGGGCAGGGTTATTAAATAGAATAAGAATCCTTTTTTGAAACACAGGGACAAGGCTATTTGTAGGGAGAAGGAAACTCTCCCAGCAGTATTTTTCAGTGCTCTTTGCTGTTTTCTGTTAGAACAACAGGTCTTTCAGAACATAACTATAATCAAGCTACCACCCTGTACTAATCTTTTGTCTTTTACATGTACCCTCTCACATAGAAAGAATGTCTTTTGATCCATGGTGAGTACTCCCTGACCATCTCACAGAGCATTACTTCAAATGGTGTACTACAGACAGCATCACCAATTTCCCTCCCCCAGCATATTTCCAGTATTAGGATATTCCTGGACAAAGGAACCCATAATGATGAAATAATATGATTGATACAGAAAATACACAATTTGGAATGGATTAAAAAGATGATGCCATAATGGTTTTTATATATGTCTGTGTGTGTGTCATATATATAACATTTGTTTTTGACATGCTAGAATAAGCTTGATCACCATATGAATAAACCAGGTTTCTGTCAAGTTCCAGATGACTACTCAGCTTGTTGCCATCGTATTTTGGAGTGGAACACCCATAGTTTTGTATTTCATGCAGGGATTGCCTGCAGCTGACAAAGAGAGCAAGCCAAATTCTGCTCTCAGTTAACTGAGGTAAATAGAGTGGTGTTCCTGGAACTAGACCAGGCATGCTGGGCTGTCATCAGTTAACAGAGCACACAGTCAGACCATTGTCTCTCTTACTGAAACCAGTTAGTCATTACTTGAGTAGTTTCTCCTACTTCTGTTAGTACAGTAGAATAGAATTTGGTCTTCTGCTATCTTTTTTTTCCTGAGTGCACAGGTTTTTTGGCTACAATATAAAAGTCTGTGAAAAAATGGTAATTTGAATAAAGCAAGATTTTACATAAAATTAACTAGACTGAAGGAGGAATGAAGCTTTTTGGTACTATTTTGAAAGATTTTTGATTCTTTCAGTGTCCTGGGTTCAGCAGTGGCAATATTTTTTTCTCCTTCTTAGTAGCTGGTACAGAGCTGTGGTTTTGACTCTCAGCCTGAGAACAACACTGATAACACCGATGTTTTTAGTTGCTGCTCAGTGTTTACTCTGACCAAGGACTTTCTGAGTCTCATGCTCTGAAAGGGAGGAGGGGTAGCCGGGAGGAACCAGAGACAGGACACCTGACCTAAACTAGCCAAAGAAGTATTCCATACCACAGCGTGTCATGCCCAGTATATAAACTGGGGGCAGTTACCCGGAAGAGTTAGATCACTGCTTGGTCGAGCTGGGTATCGGTAGGCAGGTGGTGAGCGGTTGTGTTCTCTTCCCTTGTTATTTCCCTTATCATTGTTATTATTGGTGGTAGCAGCAGTGGTTTGTGTTATACCTTAGTTACTGGACTGCTCTTATCTCAACCCATGGGAGTTACATTCTTTTGATTCTCCTCCTCATCCCCCCAGGAGCAGGGGGGAGGAAGGGGGGGTGGGGAGTGAGAGGGCGGCTGCGTGGTTCTGAGTTACAGTTGGGCTTAAACCATGACATTCAGAAAGATAGTTAATTTGAAATGAAAAAAGTATTCTGCCAATACATCTATCTTGATGTTTTGGCCCTCACTCAAGCAGCAGCAGCTTCTAACTGGATGGAACTTCGAATTTTCTTTCATAGCAAAACTGTCTTTCTGGGCTTCTCTTAGGCAAAACAGGAGAATGGGTCTCCTGTCATACAGAAATTCCTAGTTTAGATAACCTTCTTGTGATTAACTCAAATCTGAATAAGTGTCCAGCGTTAAAATAAACGCAGATATGAACATTGCAAGTATTGCAAATCTCAATCAGCCTTTCTGCTGTCACTTCAAAATCAGTGCAAGGTTTTGCAAATATTTGTTTCCAAGCTCCTTCTAAATTTTTTGGCCTTTCTTTCGTATTTTTTTTCCATAACCATGGTTTAAAAAAAAATGAAAAAGCTGTGGTTCTGAGCTAAAATATGTAAAGATTTGCTTGGTTTTGCATTTATATATTTAGTAAAAATAAAATGCGTTATTTTAATATAGCTTACAATGTCTTCAGATATATTTTTTTAATGTTAATAAAATTGTAAGCAAAATACAGTGTCTTACAAGCACAGTGCTTCCCAGTTGAAGAACATTTGCTGATTAGCTCCAATGAGGACCAGTAGCAAGATGCTGCGGAGTTTTGCTTTCACTATAATATGGAACTTATCAATTATGAATTTAACAGTTAAATATACCTAAATGTTCTAACTTTAACTGCTCCTTATAAGCAAATGTGGGAAAATTACTTTATAGTGGGTAAGGTGTTGCCCTGATGATACTCAACAGCTCGTTGACTTCCTTATTCAACTAGAGACTCAAAGGTTTTGCAGAAGGTCATTGAAATCCTGTTATTCCTCTCAAAATGGAATTTTGTTCCTGAAAACAGGAGGGCTACAGTGATATATTTATTAACATATGTTGTGAGACAGCATTCATTATTTATCCCAAGATGTAAGGAATAATATTTATAAGCAATTCTGACTTTATTTTTTTGATATTAGAAAGCCTTGCTGTCTTTTGCACGTACTAAAATTTATCCTTAATCTTTACATTTATGTTTGTTGTTTGTTTTTTCCCCAAGCTTCCACCAACACAGATTTTTATGAAAATAACAGATGCCAAGTTTATATAAAGGCTAATTCCTCTTCTTTCAGATGACCCACTTATGGTATGTACCAGTGTACTACAGTGATCCCATAATCATCTGGCCAATGCACATGTTCATTGAATTGTACAGCATCCCACAAATTCTTCAGACTTACTGAGAGAACCACAGCTGCCTGACCACACTGCCTACAGCATTGCTCAAGAGAAGTATTATGGATAATAGCCTAATGGCTTTCCTTAAATATCTTACCAAATAAACATCTTTCTAGTAAATTATATCTCAAATTTAAATAGACAGTATGGATAAATGAAGTATTTTCATTTTCTCAAATAAGAACAATATCTTTGATAAGTAGACATGATCTGCTTACATAATCTCTTTCAGGTTAAGATCATTTTAATATTGTTTTGCATTCACTACTTCAGCTGCCTCTTCCTATATGATGCTTATTATCAGAAAAGCAAGCAATTACCGAGACAATCTCGTCCTCTGCCGGTACAGTTGCTGCTGATAGTGCTGCTGCCAGTGCTGCTGCCCTGGCTGCCTTCCTCATTGCTCTCTGAGTCTGAAGATTGGTAAAGTAGTTGACAGCTGCAAACTCAATAAGTGCAGAGAAGACAAAGGCAAAGCACACAGCTATGAACCAATCCATGGCAGTAGCATAGGACACCTTGGGCAAAGAATGGCGTGCACTGATGCTTAAGGTGGTCATTGTTAGAACTGTAGTGATTCCTTGAGAAGAAGAGAAAGAAAATGGCGGCATTAGAACAATGCTTCAACCCTGCTACTCTTAAATTCATAAATATTAAAAAAAGAAAATAATAATCCAACAACTCCTTTTTGGTTTTAGCTGTCATCCTACAAAGCAGCTAAACGACAAGACTGCTTTTTGTATTTTTGAATAATTCACTGCCTTAAGCATCTAAAAGTTCTGAACAAACTTTAATACACTGAGCAGACTGAAAATTAAGATAACTAAATACTACATGGTGCAGCTTCTTAGACTTGTGACAAACATGGGCATATCAAAACGCAGGCTCAAACTATGAAAGACACTTTACTTGAGGGGTTAGTAAGTGGACTGTTTTGCAGAAATCTAAATTAACAGACTGCCATGTCCCCAAAATGATCCCCTCTTTTCTCCTGTTGTTGCACAAGACAGATCATGGCTTACAGAACCTTCACTGAATCAATCAAATTCTGCATTAAAAATCAGTGGTAGCCTATGGTCCAAATATTCAAAAAAACAAGAGTTTGGTTCTCTGTGCTATTGTCTTTCATCACTGGATACTTTATTTAAGATTCATTAACAGTACCTTGATTTGAAAGCCCTTGTAGTTACAAATATGGAAGGACAGAAAAGCTACTTCTCTAGAGCTGCTTATCTATTTTCACAAAGCTGGTGTTGTTGCTTGTGGGCCTCATAGTGTTCTTCAAGTGAATTCATTAATTTATTCTTTCTGTTTTGAAGTGTATAACATTAATAATGTAGGAAATATACCCACTTCTCACAGCTGCTTGATACAAGCAAAAAGCGCAAGAACAAACTCATTAACATATAAGCCTCTGTGACTCATGTTTACTTATAATTATGCCTGCTAGAATATGAAAACTGATGGTATTTAAAGGCATTAAGGTGGAGAATAGTCTCTTCTGCTTTTTTTCTGCAGTTGGGAATGGGTAAGTGAGAAAGTAAAAGATGTTATAATGCCATGTTGCGATGATGAATCAATATGCTATGAATGATGCTCAGTGGAAAGGATGCAGTGTCATTGCATATTGCAGCATCAAGACAGGGTGACTTGATTATTTTCAGAGGGTTTTCTGCAACTGTTTCACATGATGTAGCTTGCCACCTGTCTGAGGTTAACTACAACCCAATGTCATTACTTAACATGTTTTAATGAAATGCAAATAGGAGATGGTATAAAAACATGTAGGATCTCTGCTTCTCCCAAATCTGCCAGGCTCATTTTATAATATGAATACAAGTGTGCCGAGATACATTTCAATTTCAAAGGTCCAGAATTAACTTTTCAATATGATGTGTGATTAGATTAGAATCTGTCCATGTGCTAGTTAGTAATAAAAATGATATATTCTGTGTCTGAATAAAAATTTACTGCAGTGGGAATTTAAACTTAGGAATAGGACTCCTATTCTATTGCAGATATAGATAAGACTTCTCTCAATGTGGAGTGAATATTGATGAAATGCTCTGCACTGTGGAAAACTACTTTATCAAACTGAATGCCAAATTATAGTTGGTAAACTGTGTAACTGATGATTGTTTACCCTTGTCTTTCCACTTTGAACACTTCTTGATAAGTTTTGAAGAATCTGTTACATAATGCAAATATTGAAATATGCAATCTTTTCCTGCTAAAAAATGAAACAACAACAACAACAAAAAAAAAACAAACACCTTTGCTATCTGAGACTAGATATTAATTTAAAATTCCCAGGGTGACCTGCTGGGAAGGTAGAAGCTGACTACTGTCTTTCTGCAAAATAACAGATGAACTTTTTGCTAGCAACAAAAAAGATTAGATAAAGACACATAAAAATGTGAAATAATAGCCATTGTTACTTGGAGTCAGAGCATACTTAAAATTAGACTTCCAATAAACATGCTTCTTATTCTAAGTTATATCTGATAATGCCATGCTTCATAAAACTTCACACATATATATACATATATATGTGTATGCATAGCTACATACATAGCTCCACATTAAATAAGGAACTTAATACCAGCAATCTGCTGTTCTTTCCAAGGACACAATTATAAAGAACACAAGAGTGCCTCTTCAAGTATTTCTGTCTCCCATTTTTCACTTGCAGGTCTGTAAAGAGTAGATCATTAATTTATCTTTGCAAAAATGTTCAGAGTTTTTATTGTAATATTACTTGCAAAGGATAACTGGCATCCTGCAAAGGATAACTGGCATCCATTTTGGAGGTAAATGTTGCTAATTTAATTTGTTCTGAAAAATGGTTTTTGCACATGGTTGTTATTCTTCTACTATTAATTTCTCTTCTCTCAAACTTACAGTTTGGGAACTTAGAAGTAAAACTGAAAATTTATAATTCAAGCAATTGCAATATAATGCAGAAAGGATACTGACTTCTCCATTTTAAATAAACACCACTGGTGTTTATTGTTTTTTTTCTGCTGCGGACTGAAAGTCTTTTTTGTTATATGGAATTTGTCTGCTTTTCCTTAGATGAAGCTATTCAGAATCCATGGGATTTTGAATTAGTAAGGACTATAAATTCAGACTGTGTCTGGGAGAAGTAAGAATGGAGCAAGGATTGACATATTCTTCTAAAATGCCACCATGACTAATTTTTCACGATACCAAGAAAGGTGTCTATTTTACTATTTTCATAAAATATAATCCGTTTCTAATTCTATATTTACTCTTCAGTATGGTATCTAAGAGCTGTTATTCCACTGTTTGGGGTATCCATGTCTTTATTCCTGAATCACCTAAAGACGTATTTGCACATTACTCAAGCATATAGAACTGACTTCCACTGCCTACTAGGTAACAAATATGTTTTACTCAAAATGGGGAGGATGTAACTGTAAAGTCCAGAGATGCAATATAAAGCCAAATCAGGTGGCATCATGTTTGGTGTACAAACCTCCTATATATGTTATGCTTCGACTGCAAAAAAAATCCTGGAAAATCTATTGCCTGATATTTTTATATTTTTAAGCATTTAAAGAAATCCCAATTGCCAGATAATAATACTTTTAAGTGCTTAATGATCCTAAACTGTATCCTAGATCTTAATGAGAATTTCAAGAACAAAAGTGTTGATCTTCCCTCAGAGGCACCTGAGGAAGTTGTGCTCACTTCATGTTCCTAAAAGTCTGCAATGTTTTTATGAATACCATTCCATGCAAGTAGGAAATGCAAACTAATTGAAATAAATTAGCAAAAAATCTGTAGCCTGCTAACTACAATTATAGACTTGTTTTTAATCATGAGACTTGTATCATTTATGCTTAGGGAACATACAGCTGCCTTTTTGTCACTGAAGACAAGTCTCATAAAGGGAACTTTTTTAATACAAATACTACTTTAAGAGCCCATAGGGTTGCAAAATGTTTGTGTATAGATAGTGAACTCATGAAGTTTTTGATAAGTTTTATTACTTTTGCTCAGTATTTTTCTCGTAGTTTTTCTAGAAACAACAATTCAGTCAGTGAAAGTTACCTCTTAAGGAGTGCAGTTGCAGAGCCTATCAATATAAGGAGTGCAGTTGCAGAGCCTATCAATATTGCAATAGGTAGAGTTTGTGCCATTTAACAGCAGAGCACACAATAGAAATTAAGGAGACAAAACTCACAGCTTTGAGAGCATTAATTCAAACCACTGGAAAGAATTTGCAGTGTGGACATGCCTTTCACGTTACAACTCCATCCTGTGCTAGGGACAGGATGCATCTCACCTTACTTTATTTGTCTAAATTCCTTGCTAGTTGTTTAGATAACTTCGCAGACAAGGAAAAGAGAGCACTTCAAAGTGCTAGATGAGGTAGCTTATGTCAGATGAGGTTAATTCCACCCTATGTAGTTTATTTTTTTCTAAAGCTTTAACTCAGATTGGTTTCAGAAGCTAATAAATCAATAGAAAAATACCACTTAAAAAACCAGAGAAGTTGACATTTACTCTGGAATTGTCCCTTCCTGCATACAGAAAATATATTGAGGAGAAAAAAACCACCACAAACAAGTCTGGTTAACCAAATGTTCTGATTAAAGAATTTTGACTCTTGTGAGCAGGTCGAATATTATTTGGTTTAATTTTAGTATTTACTTTTGTTCACTGAAACCTACTAGCTGTCTTTTCCAGTCCCCATTGGATTACAGTAGCTGTTTGATGCAATGGATTCCATACAGTGAATGAAGTGAATGATAAAAGAACAAAACACAAATACCAGCCACGGTTCTCGCTGGAACAGATTCTTTGTTGATCCAAAACACAACTTGAGACAGGACTACAGTCATGATGCATGGAATGTATGTCTGAATGAGATAGTAGCCTATTTTCCTTTGAAGATGGAAATAGAGCAGCTGAAGTGAATATTCGCCTAAAATAAACAAGCAATGAAAGTAATGAATGAATGGTATATGTGATGCTGAGCTGTTCAAAGACCTTAACGCAGCATACCAAAAACTGTTCTGGCTGGAACAGACTCCTTATTAATCCAGAAAGACACCTGAGAAAGAACGACTGTCATAATGCATGGAGTATATATCTGTATCATGAAGTAGCCCATCTTCCTTTGTAAGTGGAAATAAACTGTCATGATTACATATTCACCTGTTAAGAGACAAGTATGTCAGCATTATTTTGGCAACATATAAGTAATAATTATTGGCTTAAACCCAACATGCTATGTTCTGAGGAAAGCACTTACAGGCCTTCTGGTGCATAATAAAAATAAGCTGATTAAAAAAAGTAACTGACCTTATGGAAACAGAAGAGAATAATATTCATTTTATGTACTGCTTTTACTGGGAAGGGAGGCAGGGGAAATTCTGAAGAATTGCATTAAAAACTGTATGTTTAAAGAGACTGTATTGAAAATCTTTAAAGAGACAATGGTTAGAGTCCTTCCAAGTATTTTAGTTTTTAAAATGGCAAATGATATTTAGACTAATTCCGTTCTACATGAAAAAGAACTGAAATTTATTTTGAAGATGGTTATAATGTCAGTAATTCTCACATGGCTACGTCTTACCTGTGTTAGATTTAATTGTTTCACTAGATACAGTTTGTCCTATGAGGTCATATTGGAGGAGACTGGAAGACTCCTGTGGTACTTCTACTGAATGCAGGGGTCCTTTTTTCCATGTATAAATTATTTCACTTTTTGGATAAGCATCTGAATTATAGAGGGGGAAATTAATTTATTAATTATGTAATTTATAAACAATTGAAAAAATACCTGATCCTGTGTGTGGCTTGAATATCTACAGCAACATGTATCCTGCTCCAACAATTTCCCAACCTCATCAATGACAAAATGCAAAAATAATCAACAGTAAGAGAGTGGCTGAGGTGGGACCAGATAGACACCAGCTTTTGTTTCTTAATTTGCTATGAAGCACATACATAGATTACCACAGCTCTACAACATACTTTTGAAATCAATTACCACAGATCAACTAAATATTTGCAAAAGTAAATGTAATAAATGCATCACATCTTTTATGACTTGCTGAAGGATCCACTTTGACAACTAGATATGTAAGAATAATAAACAATAAAATATTCTACAACAGTCACCCTTCAGTGAATAAATCCATGTCCCTATGAATAGTCTGAGTCTCAGAAGAGAAAGTAAGGTTCTAGGATAAAAAAATATAATAAAATATCTCAGCTGTATCATGTCATTAAGTAGTGTTCTAGGATCTCATTTCTGATCTTCTCACATACAGCTAGACTAAAAGTATTGCTATAAAAAAATGAAAGATATAGAAAAACTTACAGCTTCCAAACTTTAATGGACAAGCATGTCCATCCATAGGGAAGTTCACCAACCGCATAGGACAATCAGCATTAATGGTTAGTCTAGAATACATTATAGTAGATGACAATGAAAAAAAGTGGTATGTGGGAACGCTGCTGAAAGACTCGAAAAGTCAATCAAAAGCGAAAGAACAGGCTCTCACCTCATTGTGTAAAGAATAGTTCCATTCTGCATAATTCTGAAAAGTTTGTTAGGAGTTGTCATATTATGAGCAATTGATTTTTTTCCATTTCTAAAAAACGTGTCTGGTGTCCAAATTTTACTGACCATTAAATTGTTCAATCTCAAAATTTCAGTTGGCCCACTAAACTTCAACCTCTCATCAGTCCATGTCTGCCGAAAGAAGACGTCCATTGTGTATTCCTATGGAAAATGAATAGGTGGTTGACTTATGTGTTTGGGTCAGCAGTCCCAAGTTACTGTATATACAGTAACTCCATGAAAGAACCTACCACACGTGTCAATGGCATTTCATTTACTACTTAAACACTTGATCCTATTACCATTAAGTAGCTATTAAAAAAAAAAGTAGTCTACAAAAACATACCCTAATTTCTTTTTATTTAAATAGCTACAAATTAGTGAGTGAACAAATAATTTTATATAAGGGAAAAAAACATCATTGTCCTCTCAGAAATAATAATTTATTTCAAAGTGACTGAGGTCTAAGAAAATACAAATGTCTAATTTAGTTTCCTTTCAAAGTGCAAAACCAATGTTTAATTGGTAGGAACAAAAGACATGCTCAGTGCTTCTGCTTGTTTCTTTGGATATTGACAAAGAAAGGACTGATATGAGTCACATCACAGTAAGATTATGGTGTCAGGTTAATATTAGTCCAAGGAGTTCTCTAAAGTCAATTAAGAAATGGAGCTAAACCTTGGCTGAAAGCAGATTTTGTAAGGTGGCAAAGTTATGCCTTCCCTTAGATTGACTGATGAAGAGAGGTGGAAAAAGCTGTAATTGGCAGATTTAACCTGTGTCTGCAGCTACCTGACTTTGGGGACACCCAGCGTGACAAGGAACAACTATTTCAGATATGGCACTGTGCCCCTGCAGCTACATGTTAGGTTGTTTCCTACCATGCAGACTTGATGTTGTCAGGCAAACCTATGTGCTGGGCCACAGATGCTTACAATCTTCTTAATGGGGTTAAAGAGGCATCTTTGACCTCCCAGCAGTGCCCTCACCTGGGGTTAGTGCTGCATTCCGTGCTCGGGCCTGGGCCATGGGCTGCCCTGGCTGACTCTGCTGGGGAAGTATCTATATGCAGTTCCAGACAAACCGCTCTGTTGGGCCTGAGAGATTGTCAGGAAGATTAAGCCTCGTAATCTGCTTTAATGACGGTCAACTCAGATGGCACCATAATGAATCCCAGGAAAGGGGAGCAGGGGCGGCAAGCGGGGCCCTTACCATCTCCACGTCGGACACCGGCCCAAAGCTGGTCACGTAGATGTCCGTTTTGACTTCAGTCACAGCGCCTGCGAGACACGGAGACACGCTGGGCGCGGAGCGGGACCCCTCGAGGCACCGCGGCTCCGGGACCACCATCAAGACACGACGGGCTCGGGGCTGGCGGGGTGCGGGACTCCGTCCTGCCCCCCGCTGTTGGGTTTCACTGCCTCCCTCCTGCCAGGTGCGGGACGGGACCCTCCTCCCCTCGCCAGCTCGGGCCCCCCGCTCGTGCCCCCCTCTCGTGCCCCCCTCCCCGAGCCGTGCGCTGCCAGGCTCCCCGAGGGGACGGGAGTTTCCCTGTACCTCCGAACCCCGGCCGCAGCCTGTTGTCGTAACCGTCCAGCAGCTTGTCGAGGATCCGAGTGATGTTTTCCAAGTAGAGGTCCCCCCCGCCGCCCTGGTCCCCCAGCGCCGCCGCCGAACTGCGGGGAGAGGCGAGTCCCGCAGTCAGACCCCTCGGGCCCCCGTCCCCGCGACTCAGCCCTTCCGCCCGGCGTGCGCCCGTCGAGGGCCCGGCCCTCTGGGACAGCTGAGGTGGGAGAGGACCCCCTCCCGCTCCTGCAGCCTGCGGCGGGGTTTGAGGGAGCCTCAGGGGGGTAGGGGGGAGCTCACTCACCTCACAGCGAGGCATACCCAGGCGATGAGCAGAGCCATACCTCAGGTATGTGCCAGGACGCTCAGGTGCCCTCAGACCCGTCAGCTGGAGCAAGTGCCGGGGCTCATCCTTCCTCTCCCGGCCAAGGGCTCCGCCGGGCGGGGATGCCCAGAGTGAGGTGGTTTACGCCCTTCCCCGTGGCCCTCGGCCGCCCTCTGCCCGGATGGGGAGGTGGGGAGTCTGCAGCCGCTGGTGTCCTTTGGCTCCAGCCTCCTCTGACTGCTCCGGTGGGGAGCTCTGGTCTGAAGGGACGGTGCGTGGCCGGAGAGCAGTGACAATAATCGAATAAGGCATTAGGGGAGATTAAAAGGAAGAAATCCACTGCTAGTTTTGGCATGGAATTAGCAGGGACCCGTTAGGAAATCTGGAAAAGCGCTGGCATCTTGCTGATAGAGATTATGTTAGAAATGGCCTCGGCTTTTATTATGTTTATGGTTCACAGGGAGATTATTATGCAGCTTCTGCATCATTAGAACTTTGGGGAAAAACAAAACAAGCCAAAAAACAACCTACAGTTTCCAGTTTACTGTTTTTATTGACCTTTCTCAACACAGCTTCTCACCATCAATCCTGCAGAAATGTACAGAGCGCCTGAATATCTAAACGTTACTACGTGAACGCCGAACAGTGAAAGTTGGGTCTGGTTCAGGTTTTTGGAATTGTTTTGATTTTTTATTTATTTTTTTAACGCTAAGCTGTTTTGGAGGGTTACATACACAGATTTCACTCGGACTTTAAACCAGGGCATTACTAGGACTTTTGTTAGAATTGGAGCTCCTTACTTTTAAACCACTGGGATTGTAGATCATTACTAATTTTGTCCCGATAAGTACTGACTGGATCATTACCGTTCCTTCCTTCAGTAAGTGTGTTAATGTAGTCAGCCTTGAAGGAAAAGAAGTTCAGGCTGCTCCAGCTTTTCCTGTGACCTTATTACTTCTTATAAAGCCAATGAATGGTGTAGCACCTATGTCATTCTGCTACACTGTAAACAAAGCAATTGGGTGAATTTTCTTTCCTTATGGTAATGCAGAGGAACACATAACTAGACCAAAGGAAATTAATTGTTTTCATAAAATTTAGTTGTATAAACCACATTTGCATTACCAGCTTCTAAGAAAATACATTTAATTATCCAGCAATGGAAAGTAACTATTTGCATGAAACTAGGAGAGTCATGTATTTATTCAGTAGTAGGACTTGCTGAAGTCCAGCACTGGGGTTCTGTGCTCACGTTTTGTGTTTAAGAGAGATTGTGATGCTACAAAACCAAAGGAATATAAGAACGTGATTAAAAATACAGGCTATCCTCTGTCACTGAGTCCCTTTCCCTGTTGTTGTGGGCTGTAGCAGCATATAATCCACATAGGTGGGCTGGTTGCACACAGACAAAGTGCTGGCTCTGCCTTTGAACAGTGGTGAACCCAAATTCTTGAGAGGCTTTGGTGCTTTATGAATACACAAATGTGATCTCTGTGACTTCATCATGAGCTAGTAGTGTTATGTATTTCTGTTGATACTTGAAACCATTTATCTGCATGAATTTATTCACAGACAATAGTGCGGCATTCATGAAAAAATCAAAGGCTTGTATGAAATGCTAGGTAGAAAAGGGAGCAGTAGAAAAAGGAAATCAGCAAATAAGAACCTTCAGAGGGTTATGTTCTTCTATCTGCTCCTGATTTAAAACCTGCCAGTTTGAAACTTTACCCAATTTTTCAAGTATGTTTGATCTTACTGAGATGTTTGAGGCTTTTGTGTGCAGCACTCTTCTCAGAACATTAAAACCACAGTTAGCATATAAACACCACTAATACCCATTTTTGCAAATATGCTTCCATTAGTATTAGATAAAAACATTTTAAAGTTGTGGGTTTGTTTTTTTTTTTTCTTTTTCTGCCTCCACTGGATCACTTTGTTCACCTCTAAGACACCAGTGTTCTGTAGCTTACCTTACATCTCCTGCTGGAATAATGTCCCTATCCTTTTCAAATGAAAGGAAAAAGAATTCGTGGCATAATGTTAGCAGGAGTATTTTGATTCCATTCAGAAAATGTGCAAGAGGAGCAAACTTTTTAAAATTAAGCCCATGCTTTGTCCAGTCAGCATCTCTCATCTTAATTGCACCCATACTATTTGTCTTCTTTTAAAAGGTTTATTTTAGCAGCTTCTTTTAATAAGCATCTCCTGAGTATTAAAAGCCCAGTGTTACATTGGGCCACGAACCAGTCCTTAATTCCTTTACTTCACTTTTCTTTGTTGTTGTGAATTAGACAAGAACACAGTTTCTGTTAATCACATAATTTACAACTGCCATTTGTTCAATACCCCCCTGTTCCAAATTAGACTTCTCTTGTGTATAAAGACGAACAGTCTGTTTCATTCACTAAGAGTAGACTAGGGTGTGAGTCAGAGAAATGGAATAGTTGGGGGTTTCCCCTTGGAAATCTGGGGAGATTAATACATTTACTTTTTTTGGACCAGGTCAGACCTACAGTATGGAAGCTGTTCTGGAACATCTGTGATTGTCTTATAGATAAAGCATCCATGTAAGTACAGGGTTTAAGAAATTTGCGTTTAGATATATGCCCATCTGTGGAAGCCTACTTCAACACTTATTTAGACTGAAAGATAGGTGCTCTGTGGAGAAAAGAAAGAAAAAAAACTGAGAACAGAACCACTACATGAATTTAAATGTTCTAGGAGTTCACTGTACTCAGTTTATCCTTTCATTCAAGGAAAGGCAAGATAAAGGGATGATTTTAACAGGTAAACAATTCACTACTTGCCTTCACAATGAAAATACATACTGTGACACTTGTCCTCTAACTGGACAGTTGTGTTGAATCCCAGCCATCAGAAATGTGAGGACTAGCAGTGGCATGTTTAATTATCCAAACTGTAAGGAGCACAGTCCACATCTTCTGATGCCAGCTTGCATCCTGAAAAGGATAATTTACAGCAGTAGCAAAGTAAATTAGCAAGGGATTCTGTGCTACACATCTATTCCCTTTCAGTCCCTAAGTAGCTTTTGGACTGCTCCACAGCCCTGGGCTTTGCTCTGTTGTTATACTGCTGTTGAAGTTAATTAATTAATGTCATAAATAAAGGAATGCAGTTTGGGAGCTGGGTCTGAGTCCAAATGCAGGGAATCAATATGAGTTTAAAGCAAATCCAGCTTAATGTGTGTATTGAAGAAGTCAGAGGAAAGCATACATGTGCATCAGCTTGAACGCTTCCTGGACTCCCTTAGTTGTCTACTGTTAGATCACCTCTGAGCTAACACCTCTCAGCAGTTCTTGCATTGCAGAACGGATCTCAGATGGCAAGGCAGAGAACTTGGACGGACAAGTGGACTGCAGTGTTTGAATGAGCTGCATATTTTCAGTCTGGAATTTCCCTGCAGGAAAATGACATGACAATATTATTTGTAAGGAATTTGCAGAGAAGTCAGAGATGGCAAAAAAATCTAAAAGTCATTCAAAATATTCCAGCCCTGCTCTCTAAAATGCTACAACCATCCTTTGCATGATAAAGGTGGTAGAAGGGACTTTACTGTCTGTCACAGAGCTAAATGGTTTCATGAGCTGAAATAGGCTTTGGATAGATTTTTTTTAAAGCTAGTTTAACTTGAACTTTCAGTTCAAAACCTGATAACTCATCTAGTTCATAAGCTATGTAAATCATGTTTTCTTTTTGTGGGTTTGGAATTTTCAAGGCTGAAACAGATATATTCCCTTTCTCAGCAGTTTTGAAGTTCTTTGAACCAAGTTTTTGTACTCCTGTATTTGTTTTCTAATTATGAAGATAAATGCTCGCAAATTCCTTTATCAGAGAAGATCAAACTACCAGCAAGTTTTAATGAGACTGTGGTTATCAGGCCAGTAAACATAGCTGAGAAAATTATTTGGAAATCATCATTTTTTAAGTAAGTGATCTGAACAAGCTTTGTAAAGGAATATGGTCATGAAGGCAAGAGAAGTTTCTTGGGAGCCAAAACCCTCATGACAATAATGAAAATGTTTATGTGACAAAAAACTTGTCAGTAACATATGCTTTGGGCATTTAAATAAACAAACAATTTGAAAATTGAATGAGAAAGCGGCATGAACTGGACAACAGCTTGGAAAAATGAATGGCGATTTGAGAAGTGTGGTGGCAAGATTACACTTTCCAGCTGCTAATTTTATCACCTTGTGGGATATCATTAGCACTCTGATGAAAGATGGTATTTCTGATGAATTTGGGAACACTATTGCTGAAAATCAGATGAGTTTTGCAGCAGCTGAAAACTTCTTGAGAAAGGTGTTTTTTACTTCTTGAAACAGGAATTTTGAAATGAAAATAGAAGTTCTGTGGCAAATAGCAAGTTAAAATGTGACACATTTGGCACAAAGGGTACAAGACTGCAATTAAATCTCTTCTATTTGCAGTTACTCTGATACATGCTAATAGTTCAGCTCCTGACAGGGATTTCCCCCTAACTCCTCAGTTTCTTTTTCCTCAGCATCTACAAAGCAGATAAGAAGAAATAAGCTATTATGATGTGGATCTAATTGCTAAATTAATTAGAGTGACCTATAGACACTTTCTTTAAAAAGTGCCCTAATGAAAAAAATTTGCATTTCAGGGGTTTGGTTGTTTGCTTCGTTTGGTTTTGGTTTTGGTTTTGATTTTGGTTTGTTTTTTTGTGGATTTTTTATTTTTTTTTTTACTAGCTGTACTTGTGTCCTGGTGAGGAAATTAATTCTGTAGGGGATTTACAGCAGAGATATGGGTAAAATACTTTTATCCTTGTACAATTCTGTGTATAGGAGATGCACACCAGGTTGCTGTACCTTCATGGTCATCTTTCTGTCACGGGACAGTGTTTATCCCGTTTACCCTTCCAGTATATTTCCTCTGCCTTCAAAAATCTTCAGGGACAATATATTCACATATTGGTACCTATGCTGCTCTCCCCACCCTGCCACTGTGAACCGTGTGGATGAGTCATCTGCTCACAGATTGCCTCACTGGTACCTTGCAACACAGGAGCTGGCACAGGACAGAGCAGCTCTCAGAATGGAGGCAGCACACAGCAATAAAGGTGCCTTTGTCCTACTCATCCATGTTC